ATACAATTGTTTTAGTCTAGTCTGGTCAAATGAAAACTGTTATTAAGTTTTTTTTTTGAATTTCAGAATCATCAGGGTCAGTTGATTCATGCTATCGACAAGAAGAAGTTCCATGTTCTCTGGAAACAGTTTTTCCATTCTGAAGACCCCGCGTCCCCTGGAAATTGGCTTCTAGGAAAGAAATACAAAACTCAAGAATGAACGATTTAGGGATTCTGTGGTCCAAGGCTCATTGTTAAATGCCCTTGAGCACAGATTTTCTTTAATACCGTAAAACCTCTAATAGAAAAGTCCCCTAACTTTTAACTTTGAGCTAATTTATCTCGGTTCTTGTCAAAGATATGAAAAAGTTGTTAATTAATAAATTGTAAATCATGATATTACCAATATTTTATCTGTTGACAAATTTCTGATATCTCTTATAGGAGCCGAGATAATGGAGCTCAAACTTGACAGTGTGGTGGCCCTTCTATTACAGGTTTTATGGTATATTTATTTAGCAAAATTTTGACCATTTCTTTTACCGGTGTGCTTTTTTTCCGACCAAACTTTTTCTCTTTTTTCCCCCGAAAATCCATATTATTTTGGCTTTGCCTGTCACTTATCCAACAACGAGCTTTTAATAACACTGATTTATTGTCATTTGATAAACTATTCAAAATAAAATAAAAAACAATTGAACAACGAAAAAAGTTACACAGTACTCTGTTTGCTACAGTAATCTTTTTGATAAACCCGGCTTCAGTGAGGAAAGTTTTGCCATTTTGTGGAGACTCGTTTGTTTTTTTGGAAGTGAGATGATTTGGAAATAAATTGATCAAATTGAGTTAACCCATCACAATATTACCACCGATTCGTCGACTCTGAAAATGAAATGAATGAGAAACAATTCAACAATGGACTAAATAACCAACCTTTTGGATTTTATGGTGTCTATGAGATCCAGGGTGCCGGTGTTCTAGAATGTTTTCTAGGCTGGCGATATTTCGAACGGCATTCTGTCGAATCGCTTCAAAGTCTTGAATATCATATGCCAATAGGGTGCAGATGACGTTGCAAATAACAGCACAGTAGAAGAAAAGTCGCATTATAAGGTGGAGGGGATTAGTCTGGAGAAGGCGAGAGAGAAAAGGAGTGAAACTGATTTGGTGTCACCCACAGAGCACGCAGGCTTTATATGTCGAGGGTGCCAGATTGAGACGCCCCGCCCCTTTCAGTACTTCTCTCCTCAGACTCCTCCCATTTTACGAGGCGAGGGAGTAGTTTGTGCTGGAAATCTGGATATTCGGATGGTAATCGGATCATTGTCAAATCAAAACAGGTTTAAGAACAGACAGATTGAAATTTTAGGAGTTGTGACAAGGGAGCATAAGCGGTTTTTGTCATGACACAAATGCGTGTGACATATGAATAATGGATTGTGTATTGTGCAACACAATTCGGGATGCGTGGGATAACTGAGAGAGATTCAGAAGTTGTGATGATCTCATTGAGTAAATGGACGGTCCCAATGGGAAGGATTGACTAATTCTGTTGCAAACTAGACTCTTCTAATATTTGGCAAATTATCAAAGAAACTTCTTAAAGGGGGACTCCGATTTTTTTGCAGTGTGTTTTTTAGCATTTAAAAAAAATTAAGAATTCATGTATTCCCCCCAATTAAGGGTTGCGGACAAAGTCTTTGTCACTTTTTCAATAGTTTATTTCTCAAAGAAAAAATAACCGAATAATTAATTATATTGTCCATCATTATCAACAACATGTCTCCAACGTTCCCTCAATTTATGGATTCCATTGCGGTAGAATCCAGCCGGGCGTGAGGCAAAGTATTGTTTGAGTGCCGCTTCGACCGCTCCACGGGAATTGAAGCTTCTTCCTTCGAAGGCACGTGTCATATCGCCAAATAACCAATAGTCGGAAGGAGCAAGATCAGGAGAATACGGGGGGTGAGGGAGAACATTCCATCCATATCCCATCAGCTCCTGCTTCACTTGTTTCGAAACATGTGGGCGAGCGTTATCATGTTGATAGTACACTTTCTTGTCTTTCAGGGCCGAACGGTCGACTGCTTTCTTGAGGTTTCGTAGTTGAGTAGTGTAGAGGTCTCCAGTTATTGTTTTGCCCTCGGGCAGAAGTTCCCAGTAGATGGGGGCCGTCCACTCCCCACCACACAGAGAGCATAACTTTTTTCGGATGAAGGTCGGGTTTGGGGACATCCTGTGGGCTCTCTCCTTCTCCAACCCACTGGGATTTCCTGTGGTGATTATCGTAGAAGACCCCACTTCTCATCTCCGGCTATTAACCGGTCCAGCCATCGATCGCCCGCGTGGAGAGTGAGAAGAGTAATCGAATCGTCGACTCGGCGGTCAAGGTTGGCTTGAGTCAGGTGATGACGTATGAATCGACCAAAAAGTTTTCTCATTCCAAGAGACTTCAAACCTTCAAGGACTGTGCTATGGTGAACTCCGAATGTGACAGCTAGTTCACGGCTAGATTGAAATGGATCCGATTGCAATGCGTGCTTCAGCTTGTCCAAATCCAACTCACGGGGTCTCCCAGAGCGATCCTTTTCATCGAGCGAGAAGTCATCTTTTTCGAAACGATGGAACCAATTGCGAATAGTATTGTAGTGAGGGGCATGTGTGTTGTACACATTCTTCAAGAAAGTTTCCGAATCCTTCATCGTGGTGTGAGATAGGAAGAGGTAAATCAAAACATGTCTGATGTGAATAGCAGTGGGAACAAACATATCGTTTCAATTACAGATGAGGAGCAGGGAAGGAAATGGGGACTTGTTTATATGGAAGGTTCTTATCACCTTGTTATTCACTAGAGTCGATATCATACACAGCCTCCATATACGAGAACAGTGATTAAACAAACAGAGTGACAAAGACTTTCCCGCCAACCTAATAATATTATTGCGAAACTTTTTTTAACCGAGATTCCGGAAATCCCCGAAAATGGCAGGCCTAGATTTCTCATTGCGCGGAAATTCGAAACCTAATTTTTTCGCAGTAATATTCGGAAAATACATAACTTTTCAAACATTTTAAGGCAATAAACTTTTATAGTCGGAGTCCCCCTTCAAAGCATTTTTCTTGCTCCGTAGACCATATTCAGGTCGTGTTTAACCGTCTAAATATTATTAAAATACGCGTATATTCGAAGGACTTCAAGTTTCGACCATATTCAAAAACAGGAAGCAGTTTTTTTCTCAAGAACTCGACCAAAATGGACATTCCTATTTTGGTCCTTCATCTTCCACACATTCCTTCGGAAATCAAATTTCCGACGGAAGTTGATTCTTGGCATTTCCACGAATTCTTCTTATTTTCTTTTTTTTTATTCATTCACAGTGTCTCTAGTAGATGATGTGTTGTATTTTCTTTTTTTGTCACTTTTCTTTTGCAATTCAGACAGATTTTGTACATCTGAAGCACAGTAGAATGTCCAAAAATACTCGAAAACGCTAATCAAATGAATATGTAGGCGTTTGAAAAAACTCTTTAGAAAGAAAAGGATTTTGAAGCAAAAACAATATCGTATTCCTAAAGTATTCTTAGTAGATTTGTACAGATTTTAATGCAGGATTCTCAAATCGGTGAGACCTGGCAATACCAATCAAACATCAATCCCTTGGCAGGGTTATGACCACGAAAAGTTTATCATATCCGGATTCTTTTTATGCACCCCTGAACACTTGAAAAACAAAAAGAAAACTGGAATTCAGAAATTTGTATTTATCTCGATAAACGGCACAAACAAGAGGAAATCATATGGTTTTTAGGTAGATTTTTAAGAATGGCCAAACCTCTGATTTAAGAAAAGAAGTAGAAGAAGAAGTAAATATTTTGATATGTAGGTTTTACAAAATTCAAGAAAGGTAATCCTAATTTCTCAGAATTCCGGAAAAATGATATCATTGAAAACTCTCTGAAAAATCTCTGACTCTGAAAAATATCAGTACGAAATGATGTATCTATCCCGGAAGTTAGTATAACTGTTCATAGTTCAGAGACTACAGTATTCTGATAGCATGGATGTTGAACGGAATTCGGAATTCCGAAAATTCCAAAGAAAAATTAGGAAATCCGACCGGAATATTTCCGAAGCTTTTTTTTCGGAATTAGAAACTTTTGGACTACGACAATATGAAAAATGCTTTGGGCAAGAATTAGTTTCATTTTTGGGCTTTTCGAAATCTTTTTGTCAATTTTTCACATATTTTCTGCGTTCTAGTTAATCAAAATGGAATTTCTACTTTAAAATTTGAGTTTCAAAAATTTCGAAAATTTCGAAATCGGAATATTTTGAAACTCCGAAATTCTAAACTTTTGAAAACCGGAAAATTCCGAGATTCCAAAAATCCACAATTCTCAAAATCGGAAAATTCCAAGATTCCGGAAATCCAAAATTTTTGAAATCGGAATTTTCGATATTCCGAAACATTTCAAAAAGGTCATTTCTGCTCTGACAGAAAGGAATTTTGGATTTTGAACTTTGCTGCAAAAGTACTTGTAAATCTTTGGAGACTATTCTTAAGATTTCTAAATCTCAGTTCCTAGACATTTCACCTTCTAGCCACTTCCTAATCCCCTACTTCCAGATTTTGAACTTCTATTTGAAACTTGAATTTGGTTACCCTGGATTTTGATGCTTCTAGGTTCCAAAAATCAGCTCATCTGCTTGAAACACAACAATACTTGGCAAACAACGTGGTTCCTAGCATGTGACGTTGACGACTACTGATGGCTACCCCATAAAAACTTTCGGTGCATTTTCTAGCAGGTTTACTTTTAGTGAACAAAATACAATGACATCAAAAAGCAGTCGTCTTAATTAAGCTCATGTTATACTTCCTATTTCTATTTTCCTTTCAACCGAAAACAGAATCAGATGTGACAACGAATTACCCATTCAATCGTGAAGATTAGGTATATTAGAAACATCATTGAAATCCAAAAATTTGACGGAAAATTCCGTGATTAGTATATCATGCGGGTGGCGTTGCGTAAAATCCCAAGTAGATCATGTTTTGAGTCAAAAATGAGTCAAAAAGAAATGATTCACTCGGCTAACCCTTATTTTCCTACTTTTCATCTTCTTCTTTTTTCACAGACAGATTGAGTCAACTCATCTTAATAGAGAAAGAGTTCATAAAGACACTAGACACTATTTTTCGTTGTGAAAATCTTCAAAGTTTATCCAGACAGATAGTAGAGGATATCTGTGATTAAATAACGATCAAACAAGTTACATGAATTTTGTTTCTTCAAAGTTGGAACGGATTAGAAAACGTCCTAAGAACTTCTAATAAAGGGAATGTAGGAAATCGTCGGAATGAAAAGGATCTATTTTGTTTTTCTGATCTTAACCATTTTCAGGAGTCTGGAGCTCGGCTATCAAGTGTCCGATCACATTGAAAATTTTGGAGGATATAAAACTGACCTATATTGAAAAAAAACTTTGCATTTACAGAATAGAATTTCTAAAATTCCGAGTTTTTCAGTTATTTGCAGATTTCTGAAAGAAACCCAAAAAGCAGGTGTCCTTCACAAATCGGCAAGTAGCTGAAAAACTAGAAATTTTCAAAAAATTCTGTAAATGCAAAGTTTTGGATCAAGATCAGTTTTAAATATAACCTCCAAAGTCTGGCTTCGGATATCCTTGGATGTTGGTTTGTACAGTTTTTCGCGATTTTACATTGTGCTGGTGCGAAAAACGGTGCTGTGGAAGAGAAAAGCCGGTGGGTCTTTTCCGAAAATCCCACAACAACTGCCATAACCTGAAAATATTTGTATTTTCTCGATTCATTATCCCGATTTTCGTGCGTTTTCAGTTTCCGCATTTGTTGGAGAAAAATAGTAGAAAAATCTGAGAATGAATCCGGAAAATAAAACTATTTTTAGGTTACGGTAGTTGTTGTGGGACCTTGGTCACCGGTGTTTCTTTTCCACAGCTCCGATTTTTCGTACCCGAATATTTCAAAAAAGTATATTTCTGTGACTAATCTCCAAATCTTTTTTTTATGCATAAAAATTCAGACTGATCTCTGCAATGGCCTTTTCTCTGGTGACTTTTCCAAAAGCAGTTCTTTTTTCAAAATTGCTCATAATTATTCGTCTCTAGTTTAAGAAAATTCGTCACAAATTGAATTCAGTAGTAGTTGTCTCGATCCAAAATAATTCAAACAAACACAATAAGAATGCGTCATCAAGAACAATTTGGAGATTTCCAGAGGAGAAAAAAAAACGATTGTGTCACTAAAATTCAGCAAATTCATGTGAGAAGAAGCGCACACGAAAATTTGCAAAATTACAGAAAAAAAACAACATGTTTTGATCTTCTCCAGAATTGAAATAAGGAAGTGCGGGCAGGATTATTTTTGAAAAAAAAATCTGAGAAAAACATAATTGTCTTGGAAACGGATTAATATATCTACGGGGAAGGGGGACCTAGAATGTCTATGATTTAGGTGGCATGATATGGCAATTGGATATCGGGACGATGGGATTCATAAAACACTGGAAATGTTTCAAAATGGGGATTTTACAGAAAACGGGCGACAGTGGATGAACAGGGAGATAGGTGCAATCAAATTCACAGATAATGGGGAGTATGGGGGAATGCAATAAGGCATTTGAAAGAGCAATAAATGGATTTTGAGAAGGGAGCGATCACTAAAAAAGAAAGAGAAAACAAGAATATATCTAAAAACAATCAATTACTACTAATTGCTTTATCGGGATAAATACTTGAAAATGGGTAATCGACAAAAAAGTTCCATTCGAAATTCCATTATGACGATCAGGATATTGAGATTGATTCATTAGGGATGAAGTGGTGGGAGAATATTTGCAGTCTGAAATGAAAATGGAATTGATATCATTGTTGTGTCTAAAACAAATTGAATCTTTCTCAATTTGCTGACTTCATACACTGAATAGTCTTTTTTGGTCGAAGGTAGTCAAAAATTCAATTATGACGCACCTTTGCGTTCTTTGTTATTTGAAAAACCAAGCTTTCCATGTTATCTGTTACTAATTTCAGCTTACAAAGCAAGATATATCCTTACAAAGCAAGATAAAAACCCCCAAAGAGTTGCATTTTTTAAACTAAATGTTCTGTGGACGTCCTTCTTCGGTAGTTACGCAACTCTGTCATCGTCGTCTCATCATTCTTTATCTTTCATTAGGCTCTTATCAAGAAAAACGAATCTAAACTATTCTCGGATTGCGCAACAAGCCCCATAAACGCATTCAAACCGTATTCTCTATTTGAGAGTGACCCCATCCGAGTGGACCTAAAAGGATGGCGGAGATTGGCTTTGATTCACACAAATACTCATTCCATCCAACTTCCAAGAATTGAAGAAAAAAGTCTGACTCTGAGATTAATTTGTTATGAAGATACACAAAAGACTGCTAAAATAGCCGTTTTTCCTTCAGTTAACAATTGAACTACCTCCCGAAATAAACTAAAATGAGTCGACGGCATGATGTGTTAATGTTGGCGTCATTCATGAGTGCGAGAAATTTGATTGAACCGAGAAGGATTAGCAAGCAATGAAAGTGTCATCGAGCAAGAGAACAAACGATTCTATAACGATAAAGTTTCAGGGATCTGTGAGTATGGAAACTGCAGTTTTACTTAAGTCCAAACATTAACACACTAGAACACCACAACATGTTCATCGGCGGATTTCGATGGAACAGGAGTAGTTTTTTCCATTTTTTCCATTCTTCTTCGGCACTCATAAAACTGCCTATTCATCGGCTATATAATTTGGTTTTAACTGTCCTTCGAAACGCCGACATGGTTTTGTTCGCATAAGATACATGTTCTTTTTTTAAACGTCACATCTGGAGAGAATATATCCGCACGGCACTTTCTCCTGTCCAGTTGGACAATTTAATTTCGAATTCACATGTACATAGATTTTTGATTTTTCGTATTTTCAAAATTTTGTGAAAACGCACTTGTTTTCAAAATGAAAATTTTGAGATTATCGAAAATCCGTAGAGGGTGAAAACCGCATTAGTGGATTTAGGTAGATTTTCAGGTCGCCAAACAGCAAGATTTGATTAAGAAGTTAAGAAACTTATCGTCTTTGGTATTGGGGTCGAAGAATTAGAAAAAAACAGGAGGATTTTAATGAGCTGATTGAGATTTTGCAGTGATTAAAGAGCAGTTTTGATGTTAGTATTGTTCGAAAATTAATTCTATGCAAATCTTCTGCTGATTTGAAGAAAACTGCAAAAAAGTTATTCTCCCTCAACTGGTCTTATACATTGCTGATAGTTTGTGGATATTTTTCAGCAGGGATGTAACTATTAGGATGGTACGACAGCCAGCACTGATATTACAGCAGAAATGCATTCGTCAATAAACCGAGCCAATATGTATGATATGAATGATTCATCGTTGACTGACAGACGTCCTACAGTTACCCGCATTGTATTACAAAAACCGGAACGAAGATGGAGTTGTGAAAGAGCCTAGATGGTGACATAATTATAAGCCATTCTCGGCGATTCGTCTCGATTAAAAATACCAAAAAACTAAAGCATTTACGAATCATAGCTTCTCTCCAACGAAGACCTTTCCAGATGTTTCCGATGACCAAAAAATTTTTGCCAATGAACATCGACAGTCGCTGCCAAAATGATTCTTTTACTTCGGTTTAATCGTCGGTTTCGTTCAAACAGAACCTTCGTTCATTCACGACTTTTTGTTTCTTCAATTTTCGGGTGAACATCAAAAAGGCCGTCGCCACTGGATGCATCTGTTCAGTTCCCTCTCTCTTCCCTCAATTTTCACCAAACTCACTCCCAACACAATGGCGGCGACGCCTTTCAACATTCGTAAAGGTAGTATACTTTCCCACCACGAAAATACGAAAACCCCTCCTCATCGAAACTCATGAAAAGAATCGAGAAAGAGAGAATTGGGCGATTGGGGTGATCATTGTGAATGGTGAATGGTGTGATTGGCGAGGTAGAAACCAGTTTTTTGCCCACCAAACAGTGTCACAAAATGTGTCATAAATCTCTATGATTTGAACGACTACTTTTTGTTCTCTTGTTGGTGTGAAAGTGAATTGAAGAAATACCTATTCTTCGTTCGAAATGTAAAACGAGAAACAGTTAACTTTTTTCAGAAGAAACCCTCAGCTGATCGAATTTAAAATCACTTGCAAATAGACCGATTATCGGTGTGAGGGCACTACATTCGACGGGTGGTGATTTGTAACGCGTCCATACATTCAATTGAGCCGACGTGGCAATCAGTGCAGCTGCGCAGGGTGGCAGCTAGATGAATGAGCGCTTTTTCGGATCACCTCATTTCAAACATCGTTTGCCGCATCATGTTTCATGTACTCGCCGCTTGACACTAAACCCTTTGACCCAATTCAGACCAATGATTGATACGAATCCACCCGGTGTTTTCAAACGAAAAACTGAGAACATACCATACACATGATTATGAGGACGAGGACAATAGAACATGAGTCATTGAACTGATGAGTGGAGTTGCCAATTTCAGAAGTCTCCTGCTCCTACGCGACCGGCACGACGAGAAGTTTTGGCACTCTTTTTTGCCGGTGGAGAGCGTGGCGACGAGACAAGAACACTGTCCGAAATAGACGATTGAGCTGGCTTCGGCAAATTTGGTGGGACGAATCTGAAAGGAAAGATTATCTCGGCTCCTAGAATAATATGAATACCGAAGCGGGCGCTTTGGGGCACCCTTGTTGTTGTTTCCGTGTTTGGATCCACGTTTCTCTTTCTGTGGTGCAGCGGTGGAGTCCATGGAAACGGAACGGTTCATTGAAACGGCAGCAGTGACCAGACAAGTCTCACTACGACGTTTGCGGACTGGCATATAGTCTGGAAGCAACAAAATTGTAGTGAAACAGAATTTACTCAAGAAACTGATTGCGCAACTTGCCCTTGACACCAAAAAATACCTTCTGATCTTATCATAATCTTAATAGCGCTAAGCTGAAAAGGATCGGAGTCATTGGGCTTCACCTAATGCAGTCACGCAACACAGATGACTGAAGATAGTGAGCGATTTCGATACACATAGCAAAGTTTATATTATTGTACTCAACAATTCAAAAAGCATTCAAGGCTGACCGGTTAAATTATATTCTCCAAATCTCGAAACCTAGCGATTTGTCTTTCCATCTGCTCCCATTATTACGCTCTCTATAGAAAACTTAACGACCTCCTAGCAAATTTTAAATTCGTTTTCTTTTCATACAAAAGTCAGCTGTCATTTTCTCGAGTTACGGATGGTTTGCATAACTCAACCTAACGCGTCACGGATGAAAAAAAAAATGATAGATGAGCCAGCCGTTAGGTCAGATATCTCACATGGAAATATGAGAGAACGTTGAGAACTGAGAACCTTTCGAACGAGTGAATTAACAATTATACAAATGATAAGAGTTGGCACTGAGCCAAACTTAATTTTTTCAGTGAAGTATTCTTTGGTCATAAACCAAAAACCGCATGAATTCAAAACTTACTTGTCAGTTTAGTCTGCTTCAAACTGTCCGCGTCCTGATGATCATGGGTCTTATTAGCAACGCTAGCTCTGAAAAAAAAGATTATGGAAAAATCTACCGCAAGTAGGAATTACCTAGTCACTGGCTTTTCGTAGTCTGTGGGTCCTTGAGAAGTGGATGCAATCGAATGTTGCGGCTCGTTCTGCTCAACCACAAACAAAGCCTCTTCAGGAATCTCAACGGTATCAGACGCCGCCGGAGAGTGCTCGTGCCGAGCGTGCTTCCGAGGACGAACGGTCGTCTCGCGATAGAAGCTTGGAACTTCTGAAGCAGCGACCGATTCATACTCGTAGTCTCCTTGAGCTCCGACGAGCGGAACTCCACCGGCAAAATCAAAGTTCCACTTGCGAGATTCCTCTGCGTACATGCGCTCAAGACTTGCGTCGAGTTTTTTAGAAACCTATAAATTAGATATTCTTTCGAGAAGTTAAGGAATTTTAGTTATTACCTCTCCTGGATTTGGTCTCCCGAAGAGACATCTAGCCGCCTTCCGTTTCGAGTCGCCAGTCGATGTCGCCATTTGCGATGCTCTCTGAAACTAGTACTTGATAAGCAAAAAGGCAGAAAGAAGTACGACAAAAAGTGAGAGAAATGCGGTAAAACGCACATTTTTCACTGCGTCTGCTAAGAAAAGAAGAGCGAAAACAGTCACCACTGCCGCGGCAAAATCGATCGATTAGGCGGCAGAACAAAAAAGTGTTAGGAGGGGGGCGAGAGAAACGAGACGAAGGTGAGTTGCGAAACGTATCGAAGAACAAAGGAATCGGGGAACGATGCATGATCGCTGCGAGTTCACGTTGAATAGTTGGAAATTAGGTGAAAAACTATTTTGTTTTTCGAGAAGAAGATGGCAGAATTCGAACTCTTTGAAGTTGCCGCTCCGATGAAACTTAGCAGTGGAGCGGGATTGCATAGAAACGCTCAAAAGCTCGAGACCCCGCAAATTCCGGGGAAAGAAAAAACAGGGGAAAAAAATCGGGGAAAAGTGGGCGGAGTCGGGGGCGGAGCCTAAAATGCAACCCTGGAACGGTTTTGCCGCACGGTTTTTCTGCACATTTGGACACGGTCATGAGGGGGCGGAGCCTAAATTGCAACCTGGCACGGTTTTGCCGCACGGTTTTTCTCGACTCCGCACACTTTTCCCCGGAATTTGCAGGGTCTCCAAAAGCTCTTCCGTTGTGACAAATTGGAAAATAGAAATACATTTAAATAATGTCAATTGCCAAATAATCTCAGAAGAAGAACCTGAAAAAAACTCTCGACATTCGGCTGCAAAGACTGGGTGGTGACGGGCTTATCTTAAACCTTAATCGGTGTCGTAAAAGTGAGAAAAAAGCGGTGAAGACTGTTCTGTTTTGGTGTCTGGATAATAGTAGAATTGCAAGGTTACACCCGTATTTCTGTAAATCTGTAAAAGTTGACTAGAACGCTCTCGCGAACGAATGAACTTTTCGGCGGTACTTTCAAAACTTCCAAAAACAGAATTTGTGGAATGTATTGACTTGGGTGGTCAGCTGTATTCACCTCTTTACAATGTGACCTCGGTCACTTCCTCACAGATACTTTTTTCCTATTCTCATCATCATCTTCCCCATCAAAAAATCTCGTGGCTTCTGCCAGCTGTTTCGCATCTCGACTTCATATTCATTCCGACACCTAGTCCAATGTTACGTCACATTCTACCACACACCTGCCGACAACTGTAGATCGTGAAATGGTCTGGCTGCTCCATCTCCATCCGGAAGAAGTGGATCGGATCGGAGGAACAGTTGGCGTGCACGCCGGCGTGTGTGTATCGTTGAAGAGGGGTGAATTGGTGGATGGAATGTCAATTAGGATAAGTGACCGATTAGGTGGCAACAAGTAGGCAACATGTGTGCACAGAAGGCGTCATGGATACTTCAGCTGTTGCCAGTGAAATCTCTTCCAACAATTTTCAAAGCTAATTGCATCCCTTGTTTCAATCGAAAAAGTTTTTTTTTCATTCTTCTTAACCCCCCATGCACATTTTGATTATCGTAAAAACTTATGGGTATGGGGGTATTGGCCGTATGCCAGCTCTGTATGATAACCATTTTAGTCGGTTTGACTGCCGTAAACCTGTCAAACTGTCAAAAAACCCAACGGTGTGTACACATGATCAAAAAAATTAGAAGTCGAGTTTTTGATGCACACAAGCAGCCTCACAAATGTTGTATTTCATGTACTCTTTATCAGAACAACTACTTCTCCCTTGAGTTCTCTCGTTCCTATTGTTTTCCGAAGGAGAATTATAGTGACTGTATCGGCACAGAATTTGCATAAACGATTATTAGAGCGAGACGGGCGGTCGTTCCAAAAAAGAAACTTTTGAAGAAGTACCGAGAGGAATGACGATAATGGTATTCTGGAGGAAAAGAGAAAGTCTGATGGGATTGTGAATTGAGGAATTTTGTTTCAAGCGGCGGTATTTGATGTCAATGGATCAAGTCTTAATCCGTACATAACCTAATTCAAAAAAGAAATCTTACTGTAGCAATATAGGTAGATTTAGAATTTCGAAGACACTCTGTAAATAATGGATGAAAATGATTTTTCTCTTTTCTGAATCAACTATTTCATAAAAATCAACTGTTTCCCAAACGTCTTTAATGGAACGCTCCTAACCGTAAGCGTTGAGCCCATATATCTCATTTCCTGTAAACGGTATCAAGAAGCGGTCAACTGATAAACTGTTTTTGAGACTATGATAAATAATTTGCCAGTTGACAACTTTTTCATATCTCTCACAGGAACTGAGATATATAGTCTCAAAGTTGGCGGTGTGGGTGACCTTCTATTGGAGCTTTTACTGTAAACAACTTTCCTTTTTTCTAGATAAACTGTCTTTCAAATATTCCTATTCTTTGGGTGTTTCAAAACAAACAAGTTTATGATACATGAAACTTCAATTTTAAAATTATAAGCCAATTTTGTTTTCAGAGTTAAGGAACAGTCCTGATTGCTCATTTTTCATGGATCCGCTTCTAGCCATCAGAAGAAAAAGAAGAAACATCAAACAATCCGAATAACTTTCACTCATGTATAGCCCCTTCATAATTATAGAGCATTCCGAAAATAAAAAAAACATCATTTTCTTCTCCTATATTGTTATTCCGCACCATTTCCGCGCCTTAACGACAGCCTGTCATAAATCAAAACCCGCCTGTCGGAAAAAGTGAAACATCATAAATTATTAGGTGCTCTTCTTCTTGGACGCCGCCTTCGCTCATCGTCTGTTTCTTACATCAATTGTCGGCGTGTTCCTCTTGTATTCCGCCTGTTTTAATTAAAAAGAAAATACCATGGAGATTAGAGAGACGGTAGAGAATGTTTGCGCATAATGCAATCTAATTAGGTGTCCGTCTATGGGCATTCCGATGATTTATGTACTGACTTGACCGGACGAAAACACAAAGGTGTTCCCTTGTGTATTCTATCAGAGGAACCGCCGCCCAAGTCGCCAAATTTGCATACGGTTCTTCTTCTTGACTGACCCGTTTATGATGAATATAAACGGAAGCCGAAAGAATACATCTGCCCTTTTCATGCCTTGTAGACAGCCGGTTTGTATAGATAATATTGATGTGTGTGTGCATGCAAAAAGAAGCCGCTGACAGGCGACTGTCAAAACATTCTATTTCCGTTTTAATGTTCTAATGCTTCTGAATCCTGTTTTTTAAGGAGAGGTTTTAGGAACACCCAATGCTAAGCCATTCCTAGTACCTGTCACTCTAATTCATTTCATTCTAAACACAACTTTACCAACAACAGGTGTGATTCTTATCACACTTTTTCTTCATGAACAAAAGTTCTCAAACGTCATCACTTATCAACCCTGATAACTGTATATTCTTGGCACAGCGCCAAAATGTGTCAATTCGATTTCTGGAGTCTATAAACTTGAAGGATTGATGGTTGATTTGGATCCCACTGACTCCCAACCTCATAAAACCATCAAGCTAACTGTGTGGCGCTCGCCGTAAATCAGGCGTCACCTTATCGACCACCACCTCCCACTTCTCTGTTTTTCAACTGAATTGCAATTGGTGCCAGCTGGTTGAGAGAGGACCACGAACAGATTGCGAGACAAACTGTTCCAAAACGTTTAAGGGTGTATTTTACACATCTGTGCATACATAGTGAGAGAGAGGGCCCTCTTTTCCTCTTCTTCTCTTCACACATACGATACAAGAGAGGATATGGATAGCGATCGGGACCATGTCCTGCTCTTGAACGGACACTAGAGGTCAGCGAGAGCGATGACATGCGGGCGTTAATCCCAGGCGTTATTATTCAACCGACTATTGTGTAGAGGGACATACCTATTCACAGATTCAATAGATGAATAGAAATAAGAGGTGGCTGTCAAGAGTGGAATTCAAATTCTGGAAAGTATGGGAAACCAATAACCTTTTAAATTTCATAACTCGAAACCACAAGAAGAAGAAGAAGTCAGCTCGCTCTCCTCCACGTCACATAAATTATCCAGTTCCCCTCCATCGATCATCGAATTTCGGATCCCGGAGGGACGCCAGCCCCTTCACTCCACGTAATAGCCCTCCCGTTCCTTCTCTCTACCTCCCATACCTTTAGTACCACTCGGAGATTCAATGCAAAACCGCAATAAAAAAGTCCATTCCAAGGTCTTCTCGGGGGTACTGTTTTCCTGCAGTTTGAGTGCCACATAAACCATGAGTGAAGTCATGCTGTTGATGTACTCTCTAAAGTTATGCAAGATGATTTATTAGCCAGATTACGATGATGGTCCATTAAGTTTGACAAGGGGGGAAGAGGCATTGAAATAATGCCTCGGTGTTATGTAATTTGTAAATAAAGACGAACAGAGATTCCATATCTTGCAAGCAGAGTTTTCTGATAGTTTCTGAACTTTGAGATCCGGCTATCCGCAAAAAACAAATGTGCGCAATCCATTGCGCAAGTTTTATAATGAAAAGTACACAGGTGTGTGTTCACACATTTTTTCATTTTTATGTTTTTTTCCTGGATCTGAAATTCAACAAAAACAAGAAAGTAGAAAAAAAAATCATAAATCGGTTTATTATTTTTGGATCTTGGTTCATAAAAGATGGCAATATATGGGGTAAAGAATTACAGAGTTCAAACACTTCAGTTGGAAATCTATCACAGGGAATTGGGAAAGGATAGAATATTTGAGGATGGGATGGAAGTGACTAGTTCAACATTGAGAAGAACTCAAACAGAGAGATAATCGAATGATTAGATTCAACCCGTTGGGAAAGGGCATAAATGAAATAAAAATCATATTGAAACCTCTTAGTACGGTGAACGAGTGCTGACTGTCGGGCGTCTCGACTTTGGAGTGTATATCACATTCTTCGGAGACATTTTTGGGGACATCGAGTTCTTCTTACGGGTGATAGTGTAGAAATCAGTGACCTTTTGTTGTCTCTTCTGTGGGGACTTTCTTGGGGTTGGTGGCTCCCGGAACAACCACTTCTTTGGCTCCTCCTCATCCTCGAACGAGCTGTTGTGATCCATCAATGAGGGTTCCTCCTTCTCAGATGTGCTTGGGGAGCTTAATGGAGTCAATGTCGTGGAGCTGAGGTTCAAATCAGTATGGGTGGAGTGCGATGTGTTGACGCTGATCACTTTAGTTCTGGAAAAGATAAAATTTAGTAATTGAAGAAATTAAGGAAATGGTAGTACCTGTAGAACTCCGGTACGGAACACTCTGGCAGAATTTCATACTTGTAGTCGACTTCAGTAGAGATCATGAGGGAAGGAAGAGGCATTCCAAGTTCGAAATCGAATCCCCATTTCTTAGATTCTTCCTCACGTATACGCTTGCAAGCGTTGTCGAGCCATTCGCGAGTTCTGGCACGTTGTTCGGGAGTTGGACGTCCGAAAAGGCAACGACGAGCGGACATGCTGGTCTTAGTAGTAGAATGAGGTGAACTAAAAATATAAGAAGTTAATGAAATGGTCAAGAGTCAAGAAAAGAGTAGAAGAAAAAGAAGAGAGAGAGAGAGAGAGAGAGAAGCATAAGTCAAAAGATGAAGAGCTCTGAAGCGAGACGCCCTCCCGTCACGAACACACATACATTTGAATATACCCATCGGAGGAAAAGAGGAGGAAGGGGAGGGGCGACCCTCCGGTTTCCACGAGAAGGGGAGGAGTCATAAGCGTTACCCGGAGGCATCGTCGGAGTGTAATAGAGGGGTACTGAGAGGGTGGCCGAGGTCAGCAGTCGGGCAATCGGAGGGAACGGACCAGACAAATATATGTATATACTATGCGCAACGTCTGGTCGCACCGACTCGGACCACTTCGACCGGGTCAAAGAAGGGGATCAGATTACTTTTAACGAGAGGGGAGAGGGGGGGGGGGGGTTTTTTTTAAGTGGGACGCACCGAAAGTTTATATTAGAGTAGGAGAAAAAAGTCAAAGAGTCGGAGAAGAAGCATAAACAGTCGGGGACTTCTTAGGAGATATGCAAGTGAAGGATGACAGATGAGAAAATCGGAGATGATCTACAATCAGTAAGATCACATTCTGTTGCTCTGGAGGCTCCAAAATTTTCAGAGTCCGGTCTACATTCCTCATACCTTCTCTAATTTAATTTTTGTGCAGTACTGACCATCCGGATTAATTGTTCTTAGCTGGGCAGGTACTAAATCGAGGATTAATTAGCGAGAAGCCCTACGACAGGGTGAAGAGGATTAGAAGCGATGTGTAAAATGTTTCGGGATATACGACTAATAGACAAGACGCCAGGAAGAATATTATTAAACTAGGTTTAAGCGAAGTAAGTGAGCTCTGATCATAAACAAGATTTTAGGAAGCGTATTATTAAACTAAATTCATGCGGAATAAGTGAGCTACTCTACTAGAAAACAAGAGGTTCTTACTGTAGATGTGAGTCATGGGAAGTCTTACAGTATCACCAGCTCCCTCGAAACCAGTTATGATTATTCAACAATGAGTAATTGCTCATTTCGTCCCAATATGTGGTCAGTCACTATTTTGTTACAACAACATCTTCTCCATTGGGCTCGTAGGACACCTTGGTACCGGATGCTGGTACAACTATGACTAATTGAATGAACAAATACCAGATGAACGGGAATAAGAAGAGGAAGAAGAAGAGACAATGTGGTTATTCTATATGATGACGAAGAAGTGTATAGTTGGAAGAGCAGGTGATAGGTGGAGAAGCATTGATAACAACAATAACAACCGGAGAAAAATGATACTGTAGAGGAGGAGAGGGCTCTGTACAAATAGGGCGGTCTCGAGAGGAAAGATAGTTGACCCTTGAAGGGGTTGGTCAACATATTTGGTATAATGTTGTTACTTGTGATTAGGGTCGAGAACAGACAGGAAGACGTCTGACTAGCGGAAAATGTCAAAGAGAAAAAAACACAGCTGTATCAAGATAGTATAACTCTTTTTGATATAGCGCTAAAACCAAGATATAGATTTATATCTACCAATTTGTCACGAACCAGCCAACCGGCTTCTCAGGAAGCGAGAAGCGAGCATCTGTCCCGGCTGTCTCCTAGGAGAAGGATATTCTTTGGAAGGGTTGTAACGAAGAAGCAAGGGAGAGAGCCAGATGTTGGCAAAGGATCGAGCACCACCACACAGCCACAACAACAAATTATATGGCACGTAATTATGAATTCTATTTAAAAGGGGTGGAGGAAATCGGAAAGGTACTAATGAGCAAACGGAAAAGGTAGTGGATAAGGGACCATCAGCCGTGGAGAGCTAGAACTGAATTCAAAAAGATAAAAATTAAAGATATACCAAATGAAGACCAAGATCATACAAACAAAACTAGACGCTAGAAAGAACCCTTCCCGTCAGAAAAGTAGACCTCCCAGAAGCTAAAAGAACATTTCCCATAATATATCGGCGGCTAGGTACAAGGGCGAAAACAGGACGAAATGCGAGAGACCGACGGCTCGTCTCATCTATTCGCTCCGCCCAGTTTTTCCGTTTCGACGCCGCCCTCCACTGGAGAGGTTGGCACTATGCCAAGACCCCAAGAGAGTGCGTAAGAAGAAGAGACGCAGAGTCTCCGCACTCCAATCGCCCCTCTCGCCAAACACCCTGATCATCGCAACTTTCGTGTTAGTTTGTTGGTGTGATTGAATCATGAAAATAGTGACTGAAAGTAAGAGAACCGGGTGGTTTTGGCGTCGAAATTTTGATAAGATTACTCCTATCGTTAAAATAAATTTTGGGTAATAATATAACACCTTTTTGAGTTTTTTCCTTTGTACAAATTAACTCCAATCACCCAGGCGTATCAATTGTCGGTTTTTGGAGTAGTGAGAAAACGAAATCGAGTTTTTTTCTCGCTTCGGGGACGGTACACATTTCAAGAAATGAAAAGTTGATATTGAAAAATGGGGAATAGAGAAGAAGAAGAGCAGGCGAAGGTTTATTTGACTGTCGACCTGCAGGTTGCTCTTATCAGGAAGTAGAACAATGCTCCAGAAATAAAGACATAAAGGGAAAGAAAGAAAGCGAATGACAGTTCTTGAAAGACACGTCATTCCTGAAGGAAGTTTCTGTCCGTAATAGAGGAGAGTAATCAGAAAGTGCAAAATCCAGAAAAGTACAAGTGTATATTTCTATATTTCTATATTTTATATTTCTTTATATTGTATATTTCTGAAAAAATACCCACATGGTGTCGTTTTTGTATCTCCGATTTATTTCGGATTGTTCAAAATGAGTTGAAAACAGAGTTCGAAATGAGCTCTAATGTTTATCAATTGTTAGCAACAGAAGCTGTGGAAACTACCGTATATTCCGCTACTATATCTCCTTTATTAGAAGACCACCCAAGGCGTCAACTTTGAGCTCAATTACCTCGATCCCTGTAAATAATATCGAAATTGTAAATAATATCAACTGATAAAGTATTGGTGATATTATGATGAATAATTAGTTAGTAGACAAATTTATGATATCTTTCACAAGAATCTAGATAGTTGAGATCAAAGTTGGCGGTTTGGCTAGGCTTCTATATATTAGAGGAAATGCGGCATCTTGTTCTACCGTACCATCAAAAGTTTCGAGATTATCTTACTGAAGCATAGAACGTCAGCTCTTTTGAGATCGCATCTTGTGCAACCTACCGTATCCTTATCCAGCAAACTCTCTTAGAACTTTTCTCTGAACTTTCTCCCCGACTACCTAGATTCTTCCTTTCACTTAACTATACTTTCTGTGTTTATTTCATCATTCAACCATTTTATCTTCTCGAAAAGATCTGAAACACTCAATTCTGAGTACACCGTCTTGAAAAAAACCGACTAATTCATCATCGTCTAGGAAGATGTCTCAGAAATGCAGATCATATGATTTCCAAAATTGAGCGAAACGTGTTTAAAATCTAGAAAAAGCGAGGAGAGAAGGAGGAAACGGTTTGTGAATTAACAAACAAACAACTTCAAAGGGAGAGAAGCAGAAGCCTTTTTCCCGCCTAGATCCCTGTGGCAGATTGAGTTGAAAAATTGGGATTTTAGGGAAAAACAACAAGAGTTGTAGCAACATTGAACACATGTGGAAAGTAGGGTAACCAGGAGAGAAGGATAATGGAAATAAATTACATGCGAGAAGTCATTTCTTTTGTCTTCCGAAGGTTCCGAACCACTTGTGCCAGTCAGGCAGGCAGAGAAACTAATTTCGACACGAAGACACTTGATGGAAATTAATTGAAGTTAGATAGAAACATGAACGGGTTCAAGGTGGAGGAATAGAGTTTCGGGTCGCTGAGAAGAGAGAACAGGAGATCTGTTTCAGCTGAAGCAGTCTAGGATTGATAAACACCATCAGTACCATTGAAACCATCAGGTGAACTTGCTCTAAAAATGAGTACCGTTAACACTTTAAGATGGCCACCCTATACTTGCGTTTCGAGCTCCATTATATCAATTATTATAAGAGATATCAAAAGTGTGTCAAATAATGAAATGTAAGAGATATTATGAGAAAACATTTATCAGTTGGCAGATTTTGTTATCTCTTATAGAAATTAAGATGATTGAGCTGAAAGGGTGACCTTCTATTGAAGTGTTTACAATATTTGCGCGCAGGTGAATTTGATAAGGAAACAATCCAACTGATTTCCGAAAATCATATTTTGGACCCATTTATTGACACAGAGCTTGAATTTTTATTGCCACTTGGACCACCCGAAACGAAAAATTCGAGAAACAAAGATTGATTGGAAGGCTTGCGATTCTCAGAACCGAAATCTCGATTTGAATTCTTTCTTCTGGATCCCTTGTATCCAAAATCTTCTCAAAACGGATCGCCATTTTTAACCTTCTCAAAGTCTTTGAGAATCTGACTTTTCTCCAGAAGTGCATATTCTCATGTCACATCAGATTACTGTCATTGTGTTCTGCTTTTTTCCTGAGGATTAGTTTTTTTTCTAATAATCTCATCATTCTGACCCTGTCCTAATCGGCCGCAAAAAACTTCTGTCCTCATATCAGAATCCCAAAACCGCAGTCCTCACTCTCCCTCTCTCGATGAGATTTTTTTCGAATTCGATCATTTCGCGCCGCCCGAATAGAAATTGAAAAAAACCAGTCCACCTTCACTTTTGGCGCCAAGAAAAATTTCAACAGGAGGAGTGACGAAGCAAAAGAAAATTTCTCTTTCTTTGTCCCATTATTTCGTTTTCACATGTGTGAGGTGTGAGTGATCGCAACACGGGCCCCAGAAACAAAAACATCAGGGCGAAACGGTCATTTTCGCGCAGCTGATCATGTCGATTGGCATGATGCCAACCAAACTGAGCGGGGGAAAAATGAAACATGTGATTATTTCGAAAAAAAACGCGTTCTGGTGACTCAGATGAAAGTGCCGAATTGGTTAAAGGATGGGGATCGGAATAGGTCCG